GCATGCTGTTGAGAGGGTAATTTTGGGATCGGTGGCAGTGAAATGCCAACAAGTTGTGTCTGGATGTCCATCTCCTTGCGCTCATAGCACTGCCTGGACTTGAGGCATTCAGTCATCAACTTGTGTATTTCTGATTTGTGTCCATTTGCAACCTGAATCCGCCAACGTTCATAAGGAAGAATGATGGAATGTGTTCGATTTTGTTGTCAGGTTTGCCATTCTGTAACCTGGAAACCCAGAAAACGTATGGTGATATTGGACTTCAACGTTGTGACACTCGAGTGGTAGCTTAATAACTTGTTGATGGTCCAGCGTTTCTGATGGACGTTTCAGGGAGGGAAGCGAATGTGCTCATTTTCGATTTATTGCAAGCACGCAAGCCAGAACCAGTGTCATGCAATTAATGTGCACATAGGTATGCACATTGGTATGCATTGGTATGCAATTAATGTGCACATTGGTATGCTACAGGACGTTGCCTGCTTTGATTTGACAATACATGTCCTTGCTCTTGACACACTTCATTTTGCCTGCAGGCGACAGTTCGCATGCGGGATGAGCAGCTGAAGGACATGTTGTCCCTTGCGGCTCGCATGGGAAACGCCAATGAAGACATGCGGAGGGTAAATCTGCACTCACAAGAGACCATGCGAATGAGAAAGAGGGAGCATTGAGCTGGACTGTGCCCTGTTCCTGCGAACCCAGTATAAATTGCGGAATTTTTTGTGTCGGGTGCCCCTGCAGAGTTTTGCCTGGGCACTCTGCCAGCAAGAATCTCTGGCCGAGCTACGCTCAGTCGTTGGTGCCAAAGTTGGGCGCCCAACAGTCCGACTTATGGCAAATAATGGATTGGCAGCTGATCCATTGTGGGCTGAGCATGGTTTTGTGGAAGACGCCTGCATGAACAACCGACCAATGGTTCGAAGACTATCTCGGCTCGGACGTGCGAGGGCTGTGTGTCTCCACCGTCTATTGGTAGTAGACGGCAGTGCAAACCAATGTGCGACCAGCGGGTGGGAGGGAAGGTAGATGGCTTCAACAAGCAGTTTGACACAAAGCCAGAGTATGCGCAGCTCTTGCGGCCAGCCGGCTTGTGTGTCGCAAAGATAAAAAAATTGTGGGGTAGCATGTCAGCCCGATGCTGTTCTAGGCAGCGGTGATGTGTGAATGCGTTGCAAGTGACTGCTGGGAGTCAAGCGTTACAGTATCAGTGTCAGTTGACTGGGGCTTGGTGTGGCGTGCTCTGTGGCCTGTGTTGTTGTGTGGTTAATTCTTCTGAGTGCGATGGACAGGCCCCCGATCCCCGATGTTAGACTGGCTGGATGACTCGTGACTGTTTGACGTTGCTTGATTGCTGACTTCCTGAAACTTTGTGCGGGTTTGGGGGAGTTGAAGTGCACGGGTTCAGGAGAGCTTGGCAGGGGTGGGCGGGGGGTGGGTGGGGAAGGGGATCCTGCATGAAGGCACTGCAGTCATGGTGCAGCGAAGTTGGCGTGCGCTTGGCTAGGAGAGATGGGCGTAGCCTTGTGGACAATAGACACCATTTCTTTTCTGTGTATCTGACTGTTAGCGGAGGACATTGTGACTTCAGGGGCACGAAAACCGAGAGGCCACCTGGGGTTTGTCAAGGACTGCTGTGCACCGCGGCGCGCAGGCCAGGTTGACAACACCCCAGACGGCCATTCGGTGTGGGGTGGGTGGGGGTGGGAGGGCACGGGGGTGGGCACCTGGGGCGGGATGGGAACCTGTGGGAGTGTCGGTGGTGCCTGGAGGGACGGGGTTTGCGGTGTATCGTAGCAATGCACACTCTCTTCATGACCATGACGACGACGAGCCTGCCGGACGACTGGGAATAACGCATGCGTCGAATTGGGGAGAATAACGTGTTGGCATTTTTGGGCCATGCACTGACTGGCCCGTATCGTGTGCCCAGTGCTCAGTCCACGCCCAAGAGCAGCGTTGAGCGGCCAGCCGGTGTGCGCGGCGCTTGGGAGGGTGCAGCGGCGGTGTAGGATGCATGTGGCGCGAGTGTGGCGGCGAGGCCAGGAACCGGCAGCCCCTCCCCATGGGGATCGAGACTGTGCGGAAGGGGGCCTCGTGTTGCAGGGGCGCCGGGCGGCGGGGGCTTTGTTGATGGGACGCGTCGAGGCTTAGGAACTCGTCCTCGGGACCGGCGGCGCCCACGCTTCTGCATGAACCCTGTTTGTTGAGGCTTGTTCGATCTAAACGCCGAGTTGGGGCGAGGGCGGCGCCGACGCTGGGATGGCTGCGTGTCTGCCGCGGCAAGCCCCTGGGGTCCCGCCGACAGGGGAGGTGCTGGCTTTGCGCGGACAGTTGTTCAAACCCGGCTGCGCTTGTCAACTTTAGGGCACGTGTTGCTGTCGAGTGCACAATGCCACCCCTGTCGCAGGGTGTCAATTTTGGAACGCGCGAGTGGAAGAAAGAAAGTGCACTTAAAGACGTGAAAAGCACAAGAATCCCAAAACCCCCTATTTGATGGGCCCAGTGCTGAGCATGCCCCGCAGTTTGCCCGCCTCTTGTCCGCGGCTCAGCCACGCTGAACAATTATTTGCGCATCGCTTTCCAGCCGGAGAACATGCGCCAGGGTCGTTCCCCCGGCTGGGCCACACCCAACCACACCGTCTCGTGTGCGATCCTGAATACCTTTGAAATTAAATGCCCTACACTACGGGGAATCGAAACAGATTAAATTGTCGGGCCCGCCCGAGGTGGCCCACGCGCCATTGGGCGCCTTTTCACGCGCTTGCGAAAGCCACGCCCTTTGCCTCGCTCTTCGCCAGCTCCGGAATGAGCTTATCGAGACACTGCTGCTCGTATGGGCTCAGCGCAGGGAGGGGTGGTATATCCGCAACGCCGTTGGGCCCGAGGACGACCTTGGAAGCGAAGTAACTAAGACCTTCCGCAACCTGCAATGTTCAACATCGTGATAGTTAGGACTGCAGGCTAATGTTGATGCTCATCACCAAGTGCCCCAATCCTCACAGCAACGAGCCGGCAGCCGTTGGCCAGTGCGCAAGCATCATCAAAGAAGGGCCAGCTTGGCATACATTTGGAGTTGAGAAGAGCCAGTACCAGCAATAAATCCAGCAATTCCAACAGCATGATGCTCCAGCATCAAGGGCTGCAGTGACTGCAGAACAACGAGAGTCCTGTGCCATCACTCCCAGTCCAAAAGATGGCCTGAAAACTAAGCCATCCTTGCCCGCATCGCAGGATGCCAGCACAAATTCTTTGACACCATGGTGGCCATGGACAAAAAGTGGTAAAGCGGTGAGAGTGCAGGATACATAAGGATCCAGGAGCTCTGTCCACAACTCTGGGGACACTGCTTTGCATTTGATAATGTGATGGTGGGCCTCAGCCTAATAGTGCTTCAGCAAGCGGATGCCCTGGGCGCTTGGTCAGTAGCAAACCTTTGGGGACTTGTTTTCAGCTTGCAAGCATTTCTTCAAGCACAACCGGAAGGAGACACACACAAAATGAGTGTCAGGACGCATGTGAATGCAATCTTCTTGGCCATCCACTCACCTTCGACTCGACGAACGCACACTCCATGACGTTTGATTCGCCTTTCAGCCCTAGAAGCGTCGACTCAGCCATCCTTGCTGCAGCATAAGCCTGGGAGAATAGAGCAGCAATCAGATAGGGAAAGGAACACCATTCCGTGCAAGAGGACAACGTGATTGCTTGCGAAAAGACACTGGTGGGTGCGGCACAGCAGTTGACCATTCGCAACGAAAATGAGGAGCAGAACAATTGCGGAGCAACCGCATGAACGAAACCCTGCTACTCGCCACCCACACACGCTCTGCCCCTCACTGCATACCCTGCCCTTGCTGTGTTGATCTTACCATGGACAAGGTTGCAGATCCAGCACCAGCCTTTGCCTCAACGACCTCTGTCCCAGCATTCTGGATCCTGGTGGTCAATCCCTCGATTTCAGAGCTTGTGAAGCTCACAGATGGAGACACCTGTGCCACAGGGGAATCGATAGATCGCGAGAGCAGACGAGAACTACACAATGCGGACAAATTTGTATGTCATACATCCGGAAGTTTTGCTCTAACACAAGTGAAATTCCATTACATCAACCAGAGTGTTTGTCCCTGTGCAGAACCGTCGTCGGGGCCCATTCAGAAGAAATGCGATGTTGGGCTATTGGCAGCCACATCTGTCCCTGTATATCATCTCTCGAAAGAATCTGCTATCCCCTGGCCCAGATCAGCTGCACAGGAACTCACTGGAAAAGAAAGAAAGGAATAGAAAGAAAAAAATTGAGAAAAAGAAAAAAAGAAATGAGCACTAAAAGTGTACAAAGATCCGCTGACCATCCCATGATCAATCCCGCCAACCCCATGAAGCGCCCCTGGCTGTTTGTCCCAAATGATTTTGATGTGTTGGACAAAAGTGGCTCTAACACAAGTCGTATTGCTATCATTATCTATACTTTTGCTTCACGTCCTCTGTCAAATGTATTGTCCTCAATTCGACAGAGAAACATGGCTGTGGAAAGTGCCTCTGAATTACAAGACAGAAGAAGCATATTACGTTGGCTGCTTTGAAGTCGGCACCATGCTGTCTGCCCGTATCTGGGCTAGAAAGCAAATGCGTCCATGCTTTTGGTAAAAGCAGGCAAATAAGAAGGGTACGCAGGGTGCATGTGGCCAAGGTAACAGGGATGGCCTGCACAGAGATATGCACAGCCAATGCAATACTCACAGCTACATGGGGACAGGGCAATTTTGGGATTTCCACATTGCCACAGGTGCCGCAGCTTCCTTTGCCAGGGGCTCTGAAGCCATGTGACGCCTGAAATACGAGGCCCATTCAAAAGGAACATCAAACTGAATGCATTGCTTTCACAAGGGGGCTTCTCCCACTGTTCCCGCTGGCCTGAATGTGTGGGTTGTATGGACATCCACAATTCGAATTAACTGAAAGGCCATGAAGATGCCCACAGAGACTTGTGGGCACAAAACGCCTGCACACAGAGAGTGCATGACCTGTAACGACTGGCTATCCAAGCATCCCAGTAGAGCGATCGGGTGGCCAATCACCTTGCACACCAGTGGGTCAGGTCTGCTCACCTGAGACAGCAGAGGCAGGATAGTGATGCCAGCATGGCCCCCGATCACTGGCACATCAACGTCCTTCACATCCAGCCCTTTGGCCTCGGCGACAAAGGTGTTGGCCCGCACCACATCCAGGGCAGTAACTCCCAGCAGCTTCTTGGGGTCGTAGACCCCAGCCTTCTTTAAAACCTCAGCAGCTATTGCCACAGTCGAATTGACAGGGTTGGAAATGATGTTGAGGACAGCCTGCGAATCCAAGACAACCTTGCGTAATTCCACTCACTGGATACCATGCACTTCAAGATTGAAGCTGTTGCGCTCAGTGCAGCGTCTTCAACGGCAAATGGCGCCCAGTTGCACAACAGGCGACGCTCTGGCGGTTTTTACCAGTCAGCCCTGTGGCGCTCAAATGCTGACATGACATATTCAACCCTCACACTGGGGCAATGCAACCCCCGCAGAAAGGAGCCACATGGTGTAAAGAGTCGTCTTTGCCGGCGTCCCCTGGTGATACCGCGATGATCAAATGGAAGCGAAGTGTTGTCCCTCCCACTCGCTGATCCCATTCGGGGTGGTCTGTGCTTTGAAATGGAATCGACGCGGTCTCCCTGCCTGCGCCGCTCCCGCGCCAGCGCCGTTCGCTCACCCCAGGGCAGTGCTTCGAGCACGCCTCCACCAACGACTTGACGATGCCGGCGTTGATGCTGAACAGGTCGTCCCGCGTCATGCCCGGCTTACGCGGCACACCGGCGGGGATCACCACCAGCTGCGCGCCCGCCAGCGCGCCCCCGATCTCCTCCTCGCCCGTGTAGCCGGTGACCTGCGCCGCCCCCCATGCCAGGGACACATCACAACGGCTCCCCCTTCGCACTGGCCAATTTCGCCCCTGATCACCTCCAAAGTGGAAGCTGCAATCTCTGGGGTAAGGCAAGCGCGGTCCAGGGGCTGCCCATTGCGCGGATTCGACACCGTCGTACTGAATGGAAAGGAGATTGGAAGGGGCCTGTGCCTGGGGAGCGGGCCGCTTTCTGCTCCCAGTTACGATAATTGGCGCCACACCAACGGGGCATGGCGCGAGGCACTGTCCGGTTAGGACCACATTGGCCACAGCTGGGGCGACGGTGGAGGACGCGCTCCGAGGGTGGTCCCAATGCGCCCAATCCGACTCCGCGGCCGCACCATTCGCCCGAGATTTCCGCCCCGATCTCAAACCCCTCGAAGAACCGAGGAGCAATCATTCACACCCGGGTGATCGGGTCAAACGCGACACCTTCTGCGCGAGACGCAGAATCAACCACGAGCCGCAGCGGGCCGCGCCGCGCCCAAGGACCGCATCATCGATCCACCTTCAATCCCAGCTGTCGAACCATGCTCGTCCACCGCCCGGCCAAAGCCCCCCCGCGGGGTCCCGCCACCGGCCGCCTGCCCTCAGATCACCACCCCGATCGGCCGGGCACCCCTCCTAAGAGCTCCCACCTTAACGCCCGTGTTGCAGTGGCTCAGGTCCGCCGCCACGCCCGCTGTGTTGGCGATGTCGTACAGCGCCAGGTCCGTCACGTTCTTGTTCATCTTGAGCAGCAGCGCCAGCGGCTGGCCGATGCCGCCCGACGCGCCCAGGATCGCCACCTTGCTGCAGCGAACCGCTACCACCAATCGGCCCCGGCGGGTGGCTCGCATCCTCGAGCATGCGCACAGCGCCCTGGCGCCGCCAAAGAAAGATCCACCGCGGGAGCGAAAGGCGGTGATGGCACCCGAAGAGGATGATTTGATTGATAACGATGGCCGCGATGGGCGGCAGGGCCGCGAGGCGGGATGCATGGTTTGGGCGGACAGCATGGCGGCGGGGGTGCCGCCGGAGGCGCGGCGGGCAGCGGACTGCCGCCGGTCGTTGCAGTGGGCGCGCCGGCGGGGGACGTGCAGGCGACTGGGATGGGGCAGCCAGGGCGCCAAGATTGGGAGACACGCTGTGCGCATCATGTAGTAAGATCCGCTTGGGGTTTCGTCGATTTGTTGGTGTGAATATGTGACATATTCGGGGAAAAGGCGGTCCGGGTTTTGTCGTTTTGTTGTTGTGTGTGCCATAATCGGGGAAGAAACGAGCGCGAACAGTCCCGATTCGGACGATGCGTCGGGCAGACAAGCGTGTGGAAATGCATCACTTGGGGGGCTGCAAAATTTGGATGGGGGGCCTTATCCCGTTGCCAACCTGCAGGCCTTCGGACAAGGTTGAGCCGGGCCACTCGGCCCAGTGCAGATGCCTAACAAGAAGCCACCGTTTTGGTTTTAAAATCACCCCCCGGAGCAGTTTGGACGTTGGCTTGGCGCCTCATGGCGATCGCATTTTGGACAGTCGGCATGGCCGTTTTTGCCAGCCACCGGCTTGCAGGCGCAAGGGCTGTGTTTGACACTTTTCGACAAATGCAATTACAGCATTTCAAGACCGCTGCGGGCCATCCAGCATGGATGTACTGCATTCGGCCCTGGGCTGGATGCATCGTTCATGAGCATTCTGTGGCTTCTGTGGGCAAACCCCAATCCGTGCCGCAGCGCGCTGAATGCCCATTGAGGAGCCATGATGCGAAGGCCCAGCGGTGCTGGAGCGTCGTTCGTTCCACCCTTAACTCAGCAGACACAGCGAACTCCGTCCACGCCGCGGGCCACCATGATAACCACCGAGACGATACAGAAGGTGGGGCCCGCTGGCGACGCAGCCCTTGCCGATTCTGCTTCCCGCTCGTCGTGCACCGGGAGGCCGACGCTGGGTCCCTGGGAGCGTGGCCGTTAGCGCTTGTGCGCGGGAGAGGCTGCCCGATGTGCTGCTCGGTTGCTTCTTTCTGCGAGAATTTTGCTGTACAGCGACCCCCACGAACAGCCGCCGTGGGGGTGCCACAGCGCCACAGTGGGTTGGCTGTTCGGAAGAGATTTTTCGACAAGGACACAATTCTGGAACCATCGTATACCATAACAGGATATGACCACAATCTTGGGAACAAACATAGCGACTACCTGAAAGTGCTGATTGTGCAACGTTACGAGCTACACACCGGCAGTGGGACTCTTCCTCTGCTGTGTTCAGCCCTTTAGCCCAACAGTTTCCATCTGGCAACCCACGAAGACTTCACAGTGCTTCGCACAAGACCACACCTATCACGGCAGCGTGGCGCCAAAACCAGCCCACCAGCTGGCATCGCTCTGCTGTCTGCGCCCTCAAGGGTCTTCAGCAGCCCATGTTGCACGCGTTGGACAATGAAATCTGTTTCTCCTTGGCGCTGCCATATCAAGGCGAGGCTGACATTGTTGTCGCGTGTTGGGCAGTACTTGGAGGAGAATCACAGCCTCATTAGGATGGTGATCGACTCTGCAAAGATGGGGAAGATTCAAGATTGTTCCAGGTGACGTCAATTTGTTGCAAGCCATGCATTTTGGGACACGCAAGCCCTTGCCAACACCAAGGCCACTTGGGGCCGAGTGGCAGACCTCTAAAGGATGGCTTCACATCAGCATTGTGGCCTTATCTAAGCTTGGTCTTTTCAATAATTTGGTTTTGGGGTTTAGGATACACCAGCTACTAATAAGGAGACCAAAATATCAGCAAAGAAACAAAAGCATCAGTCATTTTTACCCTCCAGAACCTAAACACTATCTGCCAAAGGAAGCAGCAAGGTGGAAGGTGGAAGGTGCCAGTGCCTTTGTCAAACTGATGAAGGATGCCTTGAAGCCAAGGCGTCCTTGCCAAATACCAGGCTGTTTTTGCATCCAATGCATGGTCCTGTAGCCTCAGCTCTCAGAAGCCCTGCGTCCTTAAAATGAATTGAAGGCACAATGTTGATCCTTCACATCTCTTGCACGATTCATGATGCTTGTGTGTGGCTCCACGAATGTTTAACAGCCACGCAACTGTGCATGTCTTTTTGCTCGACCATGACTTGAATCCAGCAAGCATCCCTGGGAGGTCAGGCACAAGTGATGCTGACAGGAATATGGGGACACGGTAGCTCACGGAGCAGCATTGGTTAGCCAGTAACTTTGCTGCGTCGTTGGCACATTAGAACGCACTCATGATGTCACCCAATAGTACCCTTAATTGCAAGTACTGGGCATGGTCAACCTTGGATAATTAGATTCACAGCTGGACTAATCCCATGAAGAGAGAAGCCATTCACTGACATATGCAGCAGCAGCATGGCATGATGGCAAGATTCGTAAAACACAAAGGATAGCTGTGTGGGAGTGCATCAACGTGCGAGAGTGTGTGGCACTTTTGATAAATCCTATCATTATGTTTTCTTCCTAGGTACCAGAACAAACTGCAACAAAATTTGATGTACCTGGCAGCAATTGCAGATTCACAGCCAGCATCAAGCCCTCAGCTTATGCAGGTCAGTCCAGCATTATGTCCCCAGATGTGTCCCATTCGTCATCAGACATCCGTCTGCTGTACAGTTGTGGCAATTGTGTGATGCTGTGACATCCTGCACTGCACATGTGACATACACTGTTCTCTGCTGTTTTGATGTGCCCAATGCCTTTTTTTTTGCAGATTGCCTGCCCATTGTTGCTGTTTATCAGATTGCTGTGGCCATCAACACCAGAAAGTGTACTTTCTCCATCGCTGGCTGGTGCACCTCCCACCAGGTCAATTGTTTAGAGCCTCCTCTGCTGAGCAGGACCTGCACTGCCAGCGATCGCGTGGACATGGTAGGGCACGTGCTGCAAGTTGCTTTCTTGTTAGTAATTCTCATAGCTCGCAGCTCACTCAGGGTGTCAGAAATTTTGCTCACAGGCCAACACCTTGGCCCGAGCGCGCCCCTCTGCGCTTGCCAAGGCGCCACCCGTGGCGACACCATCGCCTCCATCCCTCACCACAACACCCACAGCCTCCCCTCCAGGGACCCCACATGCATCGCCAGTTGCATCCCCCACCCTCCACCCCAGCCATCAAGAAACGGCCACCAGGCCAGCGCCACAGGCCACCATGCTCACTGCTCAGCATCACCAGCAAATTCCATCTGTGACAGCCATCAGCCATCCGTTGCAGAACCCTGTGCGCCCAGTTGCCATGGGTTCACAGCAGGGTACCACTCAGCTTGTGTCGGCAGCATCGCCTCAGGCTTTGCCACCCTCTGGCTTGGTGAACGGTGGAAATGTCAGCAGTGCGGCAGCAGCTGCGCAGCAGTTTCTTGCTGGTGGTGGACAGGCGGCTCAGGTGGTGGTCAGCACAGCAGGGCACGGCTTCCTACCTGCTGGCACACACCTTATCACTCCGGTAGGCACAGTTGAGGTGTCAGATTTTGGGATGGTATATTTGCAACCGTGAGTGTTCCTCACATGCAAAGTATCCAGGCTAGTGTATGGGTTTGGTATTGAATGTTATGGCATTGTTATGGCATGAATAGTATGGCAACAATTTCTTGCTTGTTGAATTGTTAAATACTAGTGGGTACATTGGCCTCATTGCTATGTGCCTCTTGCAACGCTGTGAGGTTCACGTGGTTGGTTGAAGTGGTCCTGTCATGATGTCGATGCTTCTCCACAAAGGGAACCATTAGTTTGCCTATGAGATGCTGTGGTAGGGAGTCACAGCACATTGCATGAATTGTGAGCCAACTTTGGACGCAGTGTGAGTGGTGTTGCTCCCAGGCGGGTTCTTATTTCAGCACCGATGCCTTGTTGATTTGTTTTGTTCCACATGAATTGATTCAATTCCTGTCCACACCGTCCCATTTATTTTCGCCACATGCAAATGGCTTTTGGTTCATCCTTTCTTTCTTCAATTGGTTCTTGTATGTGGCGCAAGCGGGTGGATTGGGGAGATTTGAATGGATGGGGAACGAACAATGCCTTGTATGCGTTCGTGACTGCCACAGCCTTCAATGTGCAAAAGTGATGTTCGCTCTCACAGCAAGATGCAATCCAAAGGGACTCGATGCCCTGACGATTGCTACTAACGCCTGTACCATGCATCATGTTTGCAGTCTGTTCCCGACAAGCCAGTGTTGCCGAAGGGCAATGAAGGCGCCGCTCCAGCTGCACTGCCAAGGTTGGCAGATGGTCCACAGGATGGCTGCACAGGGCAGGCAGTGAAGAAGCCCCGGATTGAAGATCATCAACACGTGAGTGTGTTGAGGCTCGTGTTCTGAAGTTGGCGTGCTCGTCTTGCAGGGCTGCTAGCTGTGCCTATGACTCAGCCACTTGGTGCCACTACTGCTGTTGGAAGAATTAACGCAGGGCGGCACAAAAGACGACCAAACTCGCACCATTTCGATCCATGGCTAATTCTCTTCAATGTGCCAAAAAATTGTGAATAATTAGTGAAATTGTGTATAATTAGTGTTGTTTGTGCTGGAGCGGATCAAATAAGGTTGTTTCCTTTCGGCTGCCTTTGGGTATTTCTTCTTCGACTTGTGGACGTGCTGACTCTGCTCAGCTGTCAAGACACAGTGGACGCCGTTTTCTTTCCAGTATTTCGAATGAGTTGCCCGCAAGAAACGATCTGAAAGAGGGCCTGCCTGAACATTATCGCAAGATGGTTGACATTTGCACCGGCCTCTCGCCGTCTCAGTGCTGTTCCCAAAATGTTGCTGTGTGGATTGCGGTGAGCAGGAAGGTGGCAAATAGCGCCTGCAGCAGTCGAACTTCACAGCGCGTGTGTGCCTCCATTTGATGAACACGACAGGGGACCACAGGGGCCGTCCTGCACTCACTTTGCCGGCTTCTTCCAGAGTAGAAGGGTGACTCTTAGAATCACCAAGAGTTCTGTGTAGACCAGCCCATCAATTGCTGGGAATCATCCGACATGGACGCCCAGCGGGCCTGGAAGAAAACAATTCACGCTGACTGCCGCGTCTTCAGTTGCTTGGCTGCCGGCCTCGCTGTCAGCGCCCGTCATTGCCCCAAGACTGGAACAAACGGAGCCCGTTCTCACTGTCGCTTGACTGAGAACTCGCGGTGGAGCCGTGTGGCGCTGTTTGTGTGAACAGCGGAAGGCCCACCTGCAGATTCCAGGCCCCTGCATGTCGACGTTCACCCTTCTCAGCAGCGGTTCATCTTCAACAGAGATGTGCAATTTGGGAGCAATGATGCCCGCCGCTTTTGTACGCGAATCAAGCTGCAACAGGCGGTGGATGCAGTGGTGCTCGGCCCCCCCCAAAGCTGAGGGCTTCGGCCATGTGAAGACTTGCTTGTGGGAGTCAGGGCCGGGTGGAGCGAAGTGACGCTGTTGGTTACATTTCGCCGCTCGATTGTGCTGATTGCGCCGATTGCGCCGGAAGGGAAGCCAATGCGGGGGTCTCGCAGCGAATCCTGTGTACCACACCACCCAAACTGGCCAGCAGGAATGTCACATGCTGCGAACATTGTACTCGACCTGCAGCCGCGGCTCATGGTGTCATGCGGCCGGTAGTGCATTCAAATGTGACAGTGTTGCCCATTTGGGCGCTTTGAATAGCAAAAATATGTGGCTTGAGCGGTTCACACGGCTGCGCGGGGGCGACAAGGAGCACATGTAGACAAATCGCATTCGCTGCCGCTGATTGAATCCAGCATCCGCAGAGCTGTGATATGTTGGGAAGCAGCTTGGGGAATAGCGTTCCCCTGTAACTCCTGGCTCGCCAAGAAAATGCGCACTTTGCAGACACGTCACAGTTGCTGGCTGACATCAGTACAGCCCTCGCATCAGTTCTCACGCTGCAACAGTTCCGCGTTCAGCACAACTCGGCATCTTCATGCACAAGAGCGCCCGAACCTCGAACTGCCACCGGGACTGAAGCCGGCCACAGAATCCAAAAACACAACACTGCCCCGAGAAACGCGCCAGGCGCCCTTCCCAACTCAGCTGGAGAACGTCATCTTCTCTGCGTCTGCGCGCAGCTGCTGGAGTAGAGGGGAGGAGAGGTAACGCTCGCCGAAGCTCGAGAGTGCGGCGGCGATGAGCTTGCCAGCAAACTCGTTCCGCTTCGCCGCTCGGATTGCCGCACCGGCGGCAGCGCCGGAAGATATGCCAACGAGCAGGCCTTCCCCAAGAGCCATGCAGCGGGCCATATCGATCGACTCCTACGAGGACACCTACAGGCGCAACAATGTACGAAACAGCGTGAAAGAGAGCGCAATCTGGAATGCACGAAGTACATTGTAATGTACTGTTATTTCACTGTAATGACAGTGAAGTAAACTACATAAACTACATTGTAACAATAAATTACGGCGTAAGTACATTTCACCGTAATTACAATGAAATGCATGGCACAGTACAGTGTAATGTAATGTGCGATACAATAGTTGAGCAGTGCAACACAACATGAAAACAGCACAACATGATGTAAGGGATAATACAACGCTCCAAGCTACACCGATGCTCCGGCGGCTGTCACACCCGCCCCCGCCCTCAACCAATTTTCTTTTCTTTCCGTTCGCATTGGCTTCAGCTTGAGGGCGTCGGCCCTTTCAAGGGATGACATCCAGGCTGTGGGCACATGGAAATGTGCCAAGGGGAGCCATGATGTCACTTAGTGTTGAGCTGCCGGGCAGTCTGGTTAACAGCAATTGCTGTTGATGTTGCAACATCAATTTCGATACTTCTCGATATTGTCCATTAGGCCATCGCACAATGCAGTCTGCGGCGATGTGCGATGTGGTTCCCGGAGAGCTGAACCTGTCAGATTTCGAGTTTTGCCAGTTTTCATGTTGTGGCCATTCCTGGCTGGAGACTTGCATCGTCTTGCACTTCTTGAGAATTTTAGCTGCTAACAGCAGCATGCCCATTACCGTCTTAGTGGGGGTGAACTTGATGTTCGACCGTCATATGATATTCGGGCATCAAGTTTGGCAACAACCGCTGCTTTCTATTCCAAGAGGTACATTGACATATCATTGATCGCCCTGGCCAGCACAAAGTTACTTCATTTGCCGAAAGCAACGGGTTCACGATTTCGAAATTGAATTCAAAGGACATTACCCTATATGCCGCATATCGCAAAGCCGGCTACCGCGTTTGTGATTCGCAAAAACAAGGCGGCCAGAAATGAGGTTGTTTGAAACGCAGGAAACGAAATCCCACCTGGAGGACCTCGTCGTAGATGCCAGTGCCCAGAATGCCCGGCAAGAAGCCCGCCCCGATGCTCTGAATGTTGTGCGGGCCGGGATTGCCGCCAGACAAGATGGGCGACTCTGTGGGCTCTACGGCAACGATCTGTGGGCATTGCAGCATTCAGGGAAGAGCGTAGTCAGCAACAATGACAGATCGACGACAAGAGCATTGGAAGAAAGAGCACGAAAACAGCCCGCCTTCTTGACTGACTGATTGAAGAATAGTACAGCCATTGCAATGCACTGCATGTTGCCTTGCAAACATGTTTGCAAGGCATGTGGAGTGTCGTCAATCTTGGACATAAGATCCCTAAAGAAACATTGCCATAGCACCAACCATCTTTCCAGTAGCATTCCTTCAGAGGATGAGCTATCGATTTCATAGTGCTGGCACATTTGCGCAAACGAAAAGAAAGCGACATAGGCTGCTTGCTACACGCGACTGCTGGACGCCGCTATTGGGAAGAATGGAAAATGCAGTTGAAAACGCATGCATAGAAGTATTCTAATTTTATAGCTCTCATTGTAACCCATTCCATTCCACTGCGTCACGGCATGTAGCAACACGACACAAGCACATTACAAATGTGCACTCACATCATGCGAGGTAGCACGCAGTGAGTGTCACACTAACTGTGGAGGGCTGACATCTTCCCATAGCGCCACTCCTGTGCCGTACATGGATGCCGTTGTTTTGCTCCTTGAGATATCGTCCAGCTCCCGTGATGGTCTCCCCCTTGCCAATTCCAGACACCGAGACTTCGACCTTCCCTTCGGTTTCCTTCCAGATCGCAGACCCCGTCACTAGCAAGAAAAGGACCAAATCACACTTTTTCGAACAACATAACACATTTCATCAAAATTCTGCACGCTAAGAGCACAAAATAACACAAACCCGTAAACTTTGTACACGTTTGAACACGTGTTATTTGGCCCTTTTTTCCCTAGTGCGTGGTTTCACAGTAGATCTTCGGGTTGGCGGCGTTCTCAAACTGTTGGAGGATGAAAGAGTCAGGTGTGTTCCACAAGGAAGAAACATGCCAGATGACACAGTCCTGACACGGTCTTCTCAAAATTCAACTGTGTACTTTCGGCAAATGCGGTCCCAAAAGTACACAGTTAGTACACACATTGACACAGTTTCAACCGTGTACCTTCAAACAACTGTGTAAACTACACAGTTTTCTAGGATGCACGGCTGAAATAGTGTCAGCCAGTAATACCTGGGACCGAAAGCCTGATAAAGAACTATCTGGCCTGTTTTTTCCTAGTGTTCTCTGCGATTTCCTCTGCCTTCGTGACAGCATCCTGCAACGGCCGTTTGCACCGCAAGATCACCCCGTTTCTGGATAGTTTCAGTACATAGAAGTGATCAAAGCAAATGAAATAAACAAGACAAATCTCCAACAGAAATTGCTGGTGGACAAGCGTCCGGCCTCGCCTTGCAAACAATGTGATTGATAATTTCTGGCAGATCGTCTCAACCGGGTGTTATCTAACTGCTGTCAGCATTCAGGAATCAGAATACCTCCTTGGCAACAATTAAGTCCAGCGATGCCAGCCAAGTTTACACCCGTAGCCATGACCATGCCCAAATGATGCGCACCCACACACCGGTGTGTGGATGTGTGATGAGGTCTCATCTTGTGCCACTATTCAACGTTGCATGTGTCTCCCTGTGCACTCAGCGACGTCTAGTCTTCTGGTGGAAGAGTCCCAGAAACCATTGTCTGCCTGGGAGTGCCCGTTGTATCGCATGTCTTTGTGCCATTGTATTACACACGGTGCCACATTCCCGGTGCCACTGTATCCGTGCAAGCACATCGCCTACCAATTTCCAGCAGCCGGTCCCAGCACAACGCACGAGTTTCAGCAATCAACATGACGCCTTGTGAATGGCAACAGCCGCACATGTTCCTACGTACATTCGCGCCACTGACAACACTAACCAAGCAAATGAAATTCCATAAACTTCAAACACAGCAATACACGCGCTCGGCAGAGGTCTTTGCATGCACTTGAAAGCGAAATGCAGGAACCATGGTCTTATACGAAGATCTGCACAGCAAACGCAAATTACTGTCCCCGCGAACTGGACATATTGCAGACATCATCAGTCCACGTATCTCTACTGAAGCCGAAGCCTCAGCAGTCGAAAGTCGCAGGCAGAAGGCGACAGACAGTTTGCTTTGCGTCGAGCAACGCTGGGATCATTATACTGCTGCTGACCTTCATGCCTTTGCAGGATCGGTCAAAACAAGGACTGCGACAAAGGCTCGCAACAAGATGCGACGCTCAAGGGGCATGGGTGCAGGCATGTTCAGGGCCAGCTTGTAGCTGCAGCGATGAAGGCCAAAGCAATGTCTGTGTTCCCACTCGTAGGCCCAATAATGGTTGCCTGCATGCATGCACACAAACTGCACCATCACCAAGTGCCGCCTGTCCTTTGACCGCTGTTTGTTCCATGTGCACGCATGCAGCGAGTGGAACAATGGTATAAAAGGAAACAATCAAACAGTTTGGATGAGAATGTC